TATATATATATATACTGTCGAGCAAGGGGTCCGATTCACCGGACACCGGTCTCGCGCCTGTGAGGCCTGTCGCCGCAGGTTGCCTGAGATCCGAAAAACTCGACGCCTTCGATCCTCCGAAACGGAAACGGGAATGATTCCCCGAAACCAAACTTGAGTCACTTGCTCAAAACCCGACTTTACTAAAATACTTGCTCAAAACCCTTTGTACTAAAATGGTTGACCCAGAACCGTTCAGGAAATACCGATTGGAGATCCGCAGCTGTTTCCAGGGACTCTCCCTTAACCTTCATTTACCCGAATCGGTTTTGGCCGCTCAAATCCTCGGCACAACCGAAATCCAAAGTTCGAAAACCCTTCGGAAACCCGAGAAGATCTGCGATTCGATTCCCAACGTAAATGCCAACATTCGAATGTTGGTCTATCCACATGGGATCCCCAAGCAAAAGACCTAAGCTCGTTTTTCCAGAGCTCGCCAGAAAAGAGGCAGATGGGAATTCAATTTGAAGGGACCCTTTGAGAATCTTGACCCAGTGCGGGAACGCCGAAGCAACAACTTCGGGAAGACAAGACAGCGGGGTTGCATGGGTATGGGTCAAAACCAAAACCAGGATTTGGACTGGCCCAGTCCATGTTTCCATTTCACAGGTTCCATGTAGGCACCTGTTTTTCACCCACCGCACGTCTTCGGACTCTTTTGGGCTGGGCGCCCGCTTGACCTGGCTGCTTCGCTCTTGCCGCTCCAAGGCTTCGGCGGAGGATGTGAAGCGCGGAGCCGGCGGGTAGCTCCCGCAGTGCTGACATGGCCTCTCGTGTGTGTGTGTGTGTTTTGTTTTTGTGGTTTTTGCTTTCTTTTCACGGGCGGCTTGCTATATGTTTAACTGTGCATGTCAGCAGCTTCTAAGAAAAAGTAGATGGCTGCCACACGGTAAATTAGATTTCCGGGAATAAATGAATGGCTTGGGAGAAATCAGCGGACTGGAAGGACGCAATCACTGGAGAATCTGCAGGAAGCAATCTTCTACCCTGGGGCCTTGGCAAATTTTCTGTTGAATTTCCTGCAAACCAGGAGAACGAATTGCTCGCTTCCGTGACGTACCCGAAGCAATAGATCTCCTGTCAACCAAAGTGTCAACCTATTTCGTATACAAGCGGCATATACGGGTTTACCTGTTTAAATGGCTAAACCATAAACCTGACATGCAGGTTTGCCCTTGTATCGGGCAGCGCTTGGTGTTTCCCTCAATGTGCCATTCACGGATTGCTAGGCAACGTCCATGTGCATCAACCGAAGAGCAGCCAGACATTCTCGCCCTTTCGAGGGTCGAGAAAAAATGCAGGCCTTTGAAGCGGCCTTTGGATAAATGGTTGTGGGATTTTCTTCGCGGAATGCTCGAGGAGTTGAAGCAAAACATCCCCTGGTAAAGAAACCGGGAAGCGAACTCGGTATCCCCAATGAGTCTTGTCCAGGATATGGAAACCAGCCCATTGTTTCGCTGAGTCAGCTGCATATTGTGCACTTCGCTTGCTTTGCTGCTTGTCTGGTTCTTGTTGAGTGTGGCCCTTTTTGCCGGCATTGGGCCTTGGTTTTCTTGCTTGATCCTCACCTTCTTTGAAACCAGCATTCAGCATGACATTTGGGGCCAATTTGTATCGACTCCAAGAACCGCCAAAGATCGTGTCGCCAACGTTTTCACGAGGTTTCCCGTAAAGAGTGTTCCTTCAACAGCTTTTGGCCCACAGGTTCCAATCGCCAGAAAATCGTCTCAAGGCAAACCCTGTACGTTCAGGTCCATAACCTCTGCAACCTCTCGCCCAAGTAAGGAAATCATCGGCGATCACTTTTCGGAGCAATTGACGGCTGGTCCCACGTGAAAAACCCGCAGTTCATGGTCAAAAAGTCGATTCGGCCCCCCAAAAGCCCACTTTGGCATGGCCCAAAGCGACAAATGAGTTTGGCTTCACAGTCTCGCGGCAGAAACCCCAACTTTCGAGCGCAGACCCACTGAACCACGCCAGTGGGGTTGTCTACCCCCCCGCCAAAAAAAACAAGTAGCTGTCGAGTCGCCAGGTTAGGCAAAATCCTTGTTTAGACATTTTGAAACACCTACTGTTTAAACATGCGGCCAGGGCGTGGTTTCCAGAACGGTCGCAAGCCCCCAGCCTTTTCGTCTAGGGCTGAAGCAAAGGCCCGCATCTCCTGGCATTTGAGCAGAGTGTGCGGTTTTGAGTTGTCGCTATTGACTAGAAAAGAGTTTGTTTACCATGGAAGCCCTGGCTTCTTGAGAAAAGACTAGTGGCATGTGAAATTGAGGGTACAGCAAAGCCTGGTTCCGAACATGAACCAACCTGAGTTCCCAAACCCAGTGCCCCTTGCCCCAGAGATACAGAGAATGAGGACCTGCAAGCTTCCAGGGGTGATCCCCCCCTCATGGAGAATAGGGAAAATACAACTCGAAGCTCAGCCACTCTGCCTCAAATAAAAAGCTGGTCTTCCTGTGGACAAAATCAATTTCGCACCAGTTTGGTAGGCGATTTATCCCAGTATTCAGAATGCTATTCATCGCAACTGATGCAGGTTGGGGGCAAAACGGCCCTGATCACCCCGCGTTTGCATGGAAAGGCTTTCCATCAAACACATCGATCTGATTGTTAAAGCTAATCGCTCGGTCGGACGCTCTTGCTGCAGCAGTTGCCCACAAAAGGGACTCATCTAAAAGCAAATGTCCGTCATAAAGATGGGCGGTTGAGATTCCATGTCAGTCTGTCAAGTAAACCGGTCTTACCAGGGGCAAAGAATCCAAACAAAAGAAAGGCCGCGTCGATCTGGCAAGAGAAACTGGATTTGGCGTCGTGACTTCTTCGCTGTTTGGGAAGCTAATGAATTTCCTGGTCAGCCTCCGAACCAAGTGAAGCACTCCCAACCAAAAGTCTGGAAAGCGCAATCCACCGGATGCGAATTCGATTTGGCGCAGCGAAATCGCACCTGAGCGCGTTCCTCCTCCAGCTCGGTCTCACTGATGGCACCACTGGGCAAAGGCGGTGGTCTCACTCAACAGCCGGGTGAAAGTAGATGGCACAAGTCCACCATTTCTGGTTTAGTCATATCTTTACGCGCGTCAAGGATTTTTGTTGGGCCAGTTTACCTTGGTGTATTCAGTTGGCATTTTCAGGTGTCTCTCTCTACCAACCCTGTCACAGGTACACACGCATGGTGGGTGAAGTATCAGAACTCGCGTCGAAAGCGGGATTCCCTTTTAAGTGTTGAAAGGAACCGCCATCTTTCCATTTTAAGGGTACTTATGTGCCTCCCAAACAGAGCACCATGGGGCATACTCTCAGTCACTGCAAAGATCACTCGCCCAGGTCACAAGAACCCATGACTGTCGCTTACACGGCCAGGCAGCTACAGCCAGCCACGAAGGCTGGCACGTTGCTTTCTGCCCCCCCCCCCAAAAAAAAAAGAACGCTTTGCTGGGCGCTGATCGAGCAGCGAGTGTGTTTTGCTCCCTTTCGGACTCCTTTTTCAGAGAGAGAGAGAGAGAGAGAGAGAGAGTTGTTCGCAATGGAACCGGGCTCTTGGGGGACTTCACAGCAAAACGGAGAAAAGACCCCCGCCCCAATCTCCAAATACCAACTGTTTGAAGGGTACTGAGCTGTCAACCCTGACTAGAAAAGGAATTAAACTTACCCAGTCTAGACCAAATTGTACCAACCGCAGCTAGTTGGAGTGTCTTCCGCCGGGAAAAAACTGATGCCTCGTCCCCACCTCGATTTCTTTCGCTGGGTCCCGGGCGTGTGAATTGTGTCCTAGCGGCGAACCAAAAGCCTTAAGCTAAAAGCCGTGCTGGTGCGATGGGTAGGGAATGAGAGAATGCACCTTGGGGTCTCCTTTAACGAACAACCACCAGTTGGATGGTTTATCAGGTCATTCCATGTCTCATTCCCTGCTGAGCACCAGCAAGGAACCTGGGATCTCCAAATCTTCCGCCATTTCCCTTGGAACCTCCAAAAGTGATCGTTTCAATGGAAACCACCTGTAAAAAAAATCAACTTTAGGGGAAATCCAGGAACCCCGTTCCCCCCCGCCCAAACAAAAATTAACTGAGGCGTTTAAAAAAAAGAGGGAGGACTTAAAATCGAAACCAGAAAGCAGGACAGGGCGGTTGCGCGATTTGTGTGGCCAGACGAGAAGAACCAAGAAAGAGAGCCAATCTACCCCCCCCCACCCCCGCCCTCTCAACCCCCCCCCAAAAAAAGAGAGAGAAGAAACACTTGTTTTAGGGCATGTCGCCATCAAACCGGGTGAGCTTGCCTTTCCGGTTCTCAGAAGGGAACGAGGGAATGACTCCAATAAACTATCACGTGTGGTGTCCTTTAAGGGAATCAGGTTCACTTCGGGGGTTGGGCCATTCCCTATCGAGCGCCAGCAAGACATGTTTGCGGTTTTTGGAGCAAAGGTCCACAAGCATCCGCATGTCCAGCAGACTTGAAAAGAGAGCAGACATCAGCTTCTGACTTCACCGACAGCCCACCAGAGAGTACCTATGTTGCCACTGAACCTTACCAGGGGAGGACCGAACGACCATCGCCCAGGAATCCTTCACCGGCCAAAATCCTGCCCGGAAGCTTTGCCAAGCTGCCCCAGGTCTTCTTTTAGGCTGGGCGGATCGCTTGGCGAAAAAAAACACTTGGCTCATGTGTGATCCATCAAAGGTACCCTTTCTGGGGTCCAAAGAGCACAAGGGAAAGTCGCGAGTTCTCATGAGACAAGCCCATGGCACAACGGAGCTGATCAGGCCACAACAAACCGGCAAGGGACCACCAGAAAAACGAACCAGTAGGCCCAGACCGCCCAAAAAAACGATACGACCATGTGACAGGACAACATTCGGCATCCTTTGCTCTCCCAAAACAGATCTTGAAAAACGGAAGAATCGCCCGTTGAGACGTCCCGAGGTTTGCGTGGAATCAGGTAGACTGCCAATGGGTGGCTTATCTCAGGGCTTCCCCCGTCTGCGAAACTCCACCCGCTCCAGAGACAACGAGCCCGCGGGCCGCGGCTCGCCTCCGCGACGAGCGGCTTGGAAACGGACGACCGAGTCCGGGCTGGAGTTGGGGGTGTCCTTTTTTCCAGAAACACCCCCCAAATTGGGGGACCAAAAATGGGGGACATCCTTGTATTTGTTCCCTTTGAATCCAACCAAAAAAAGGGGGTCCCTAAAAAAAGAAACGAGCCACCCATTTGGGGAAACCCGGCTGAGTCCAAAACCCAGAACCTGAACTCGATTTTCTTGGGGGCGTAGGCCAAGCTCTCGTGAATTGGGGGCTGCCCAAATCCAGCTAGATTTCGCGTGGCGGTTGTTGCCTATCTGGCATGGCGCATAAACACCTGTCCGAATCAGCGGAAATTGAGCTCCGACAAAACGACGTTCCGTTTCGGGATGAAACTCACTTGATGTCAGAGGCAAACGAAAGCTAGGGTCCGCGGAAGATCGCCGCCGGCTTGTTTTTGGGGGTTGGCAGGGGAGCAATTCCAGCGAAAAGAGCGAATAACGGCCAAAGCACTCAAACAGGCCTGCGTCCTAGGCGGTTTCTCGCAGAGCGATGTCAAGGAACAATGTGCAAAACTCACGCCAGTGAACAATCGGAGCCCATAAGTTGTAAGAGAGGGGAACAGAACGCACAAAAGAGTGGAGCGAAGCGCGAAGAGAACTGTGGGCACAGGAGAGAAGAGCAGAGCGAAGAGTTCGGAGAGGAGAAGAGCCGAGAAGAGCGGAGCGAAGAGTGGGGAGACGTGCGGAGAGAAGACTGATACAGTAGATTTCCTTGAAAGCCATCATGGGAAATCAACAAACATTATTAAGCAAATGTAAAAAAGGGAACTAGCCAATTTTCGGGGGGGGGGGGGGGGGGTTCACTGTCTTGACAAACATCCAGAACCCAAATTAAACCATGAACCAGTCCCTTCGGCCAAGGCGCCATATTCTTAAGCATATTGAATTTCGATCAAGGTTTTCATGTCCGGGCCATAATGAGTAATTACCCTGGTACAGACAAGCATGGTACGATCGCGAAAACAGCCGCGCCTGCCACGCCACCCTCCTGCTGGGCATTCCGGACAGCCTAGGCAGAAATGGGCCAGGGGCATCTGCTAACTGGAAGGCTTTGCATTGGTGGGCCATGTGTTTGAGGAATTTGCGGCGCCCCACTCTTTGGGTTTAAAGTGCGCAAAGGAAAACCAAATCGAGACCAACCATTTTGGCGCTTGAGACAAACCCATATGTGCCCCACAAGAGAAGCTCAATTCAAATTCACAGATGACACCATTTTGACAGGTCTTCTTGACTGTCCCAGTGGATCCCAGTTACCACTATTGCAGGCAACCATCAAGCTTCCTTTTGGTTTGTGAGGGTGGTTCCCTTGGTTAGCTGCCAGGGAAATGGAATCACACAACCTTGGGGTCCTCTCTGAGAGCTCCCGAGACCCGTTTCGGCCAACTCCAAATCCGCCTTCATCACGTAAGCGGAGGGGTTGTTGACCTGTCGGGCCCCCTCGTAGACGTACCCCATGACTTCCCCTTTTCAGGGATTGAGACCAAGTGGGGTTGAGAGTACCTTGAGGTTTGCTGAAAACGTGCTGCCCCAGAAATGGATGAGTCAAAATCAAAGCCTGGTACAGGAGTGGGTGCGTCTTTTTTGACAGTACCCTTGTTGAGGTGGGTTTAGAGGGAACCCACCCATTTTGAGGGCTCTTTGGAGATCTACGCCAAAACCCGCGGTAAAGAATTGCAAAGGGATTCTTGATATCTGCACCTAGTCGACTGTTTTCGGCCGCTCCACCCCTTTGAACAATTTGGCAGCGGCAGCTTCCATCATCTGGCGGGGAAGGTCGACCCGGCTATTCATAGGGGGCCCCCGAAAGTCCCTTTTTAACCCCCCGCCCCCCCGCGCTTGAAGTCAACCAGGGCTTCTACTTAGATCCGGGGTCAACATTCCCCTCCCGTCCACTCACCTGGAACCTTCCCTTCCGATCTCCTGGTTTGTAGGATCGTCCAAGAGGGACCGAGCGGGCGGGAAGGTTCCAACGAGAGTTGGTACTATTCGCTCTCCGTCCTTGTCTCCAGCGTCGATCAGCTGTTGCAGGATCCGTTGCGACGCCTACCAGGGTGCGCGCGCGCTCGAGTGCTGGAGGTTTCTCCGGCCACCAAGTGCCATACATGTCCGTCGTGTTCTCGGGGACACCCCCTTCCTTCTGGCGTCCACTTCAAAACCGATCCAACAGGCGTACCCTCAACAAACGACACGGCCATACAACGTTCCAATAAAGTGACCCTGATCTTAGTTGGGATCGAGCCGATTTTTTGCGCCATAACTTCTTTCTTGCTTCATCTGGGCTTGCCCAGCGTTACCAGACTAGAGAACATCACCAGTTGATCCCGATGGCCAAGGGGGAAGCTGGCACGCATTTGGAATCGAAAAGTTCCCAAGAGGGTACATCAAACAAGGCCACCAGCTGACCCACCCCTGCCTACATCAGGCAAAACTGATTTTCAAATTAGCAGGCATCCTTCAAGGAATTCCGAAACCCCTTGCACTTCCAGAGTAGACAGGCTAAAAGAAGGGCGGACTTGTCTAAGCTTGCTGGGATCATTTTGGCGGTAGACTCTATCCCCAAAATATTGGACCTTCCTCAAAAAAGTGATTTCATTCCAGAATCCAGAAACTGCGGAACGTGAGCCTGATTTCATGAATTCACGGGAGTGTGCTTTTGCGAGGCTGCCCTTTTCGGGGTTGCCGGGTAAGACATCTCCCAAGTGAAGCCGACGGCGCCATGGCGCCGGCGCCTCGGCGTTCAACTCCTGCAGCGCTCGCTTCGCATCCTCGTCCAAGCGCGTGGTCACATCCCCACCCTGCGCCGACGAGTTTTGTCGCAGTTGTACCCACGGTTCGGAACCCGAAAGCTGGCGGTGGCTCAAACAGACTGTGGATGGACAAAATCTTGCACCACCTAAGAAACCCTGGAATGAATGATTCCCCAACGTAAATACCAACAAACAATGGCTTCAACCATGGTTTCATTTCGTGGTGCGAACGGATTTCGTCCATCCACAGTAGGGTAGCCCCACAATGGGTTGCCCTGAGAAATGGAACCAAAGACCAAAACCTGCGTACTCCCTGGCTCTTTAATTTGAGCCTGGGAAAATGGGGGAACCCCGGAAGACTGTAACCCGGGAAAGGGGGCGGGGGGAATGTGGGAACCCTTCAGGTTTGAGACTTAAAAAAAACGCCACGGGAACTGAGATGTCCAACCAACAAATTGAAGCGTCGATCAAACCAAGCAGAGGAAAGTTGGAACCGGGTCTCAAAGATGTCTTCATGGAAGTTGAGTAGCACCCCTACAGATTTTGTCTCACAAAATTGGGGGGAAACAACACAAGCTCTTTTTCCGCTTGGCTTCCCTATTCTAAAAAAGAGGAGCAGGGGGGGCTTTTCAAGAAGGGACCCACTCATTTTCTGGGTCCGTCGTGTTTTCAGACCCCCAAAACGGAGGTGTTGCGCTCGGCTCCCCTTTGAACCCCCCCCCCAAGGAGGGGCCCATCTCTGCCTGGCCGGCGGCTTGGCCGGCGAGACCCACCTGCGTATGGCTTGGAGGGGGAGGGCGCAAGGGCAGAGACCAATCCATTTTGAGACCTGGATTTCATTTGCTTATTTATTTATTTATTCATTTATTTATGTATTTATACATATATATATATATATATATATGTTTGGGGAAGAACAGAGGTAGACCCGCCTGGATTTGTGTTTTGGGGGGAACAGGATTGTTTTCACTGGAATTGCCCGAGCAATTGGTGGGAAACCCGTGAAACGATCGCCGCTTTTGGAGGTTCCAAAAAGGGACATGAAGAAAGCTACGCACCAGTTGGGGTGGCTCAGCCCTATGAATGGGTCAACCACCAATCCCCAGTCAACCGTCTGTGGATTCCAACCATGCCATGTAAAGGGTACCCAAAGGGTTGTTTAAGCAAGGTTGAAACGTCTTTAAGGTCTGGTCCCCAAAGCAAGTCCTTCCGCTATTTTTAAGCAAAGTTTATCCAAAGGGTCCCCAAACTAACGGAAGTAACCCAAGAAGGATTGAAAGAGAGCGAGGCTTCTCTGTGAAAAGGCCCCAAGGAGAATTCCCCGCGTTCATCCGGGGCGTGCAGGCAACCAAACTAAAACGAGGTGAAAACCAAATTGTTCCAGGGACTATTTGGACCAACGTGTGAACTCCGGATGGAAACCGACATGGAGGCAACCAAATGAAAGATTTACAATGAAAAGTTCAAGGGTCATTTTCACCCAGCATTTCTAACTTTTGCCCACCCGGCAAATGTGGCGGAATTCGGAATTGAAGCACCCCGCAACCCACTGACATTCTAATGAGCTGCTCTCGACAAAAAAAACATGGACGCTAAAAGCACCCGCAACCTTGGAGGAATTCCTCGGGCACAACCAAAGCTTTAAGCTTGTTCTCCGCCAAAGCTATGCGGAGCCAAAATGAAAAGTATATGGCGGGGGAAGGCAGGCATCTCATTTCCCTGTCCTGGATCTTTTAGTGGAAAGTCTCAAGAATCCCCCAAGCCCTCTTACAGATGCGACTTTGCACCGGCCAGCACTTCCCCTGAAAGGTGCTTGACCAAGCAACATGGTGCATACACCCACTTTGGACGGCTGCTTTCTTGTTGGAATGAGTCTTGTCTTCCGGTGCCAGGGCGAGCGCACTGATTTATCAAGTGAAAACAACCCTCGCGGCGCCTCGTTAAGCAAGGAGTTGGTCCCCTTTGCAGCGAACCAATGCCAAAAATCTTGGAAACTCAGATTGGCCACCCGCAACCGCCCCACCTGCCCCCACCACCCACTGAAAATTGTGACGCTTCGAGGAGCGTATTTGGCGAAAACAGCAAAAGGTGGTTTGCGACATCACCTTTTGGGGTCAACGTAAAAGCAATTTCCTTCTGGTCGGATGATGCTAACCCTCGTTTCATGGCCATGTCCTTCAGGACATGATGTTTACAGAAAAGGATAAAACTATGGGCATCTGTCAAAATGGGGGAAGCTCAACATGGGGGGGGGGTATTTCTTGGATTCTCCCCCCAGAAGAAGAACGACGCAGCCTCTCTCTTGGCCAAACCTAGGCTCCGGGAGCATGACACGAACCCAGAAGAAGGTCCCCAAAGGGCGAGCTAGGTCGACGGCCCAAATTGCCGGTTCGCGGTGCGCGTTTCGCCCGGCCCAGCCCCGAGCCCGGCCAGGCCTTGTTCCTGGCATTGGCCAGCGCGCGCTGCACGTAGGCAGAGGGGTTCCGCACCTCGCCGACGAATTGGCGAGCTGCTCGGAGTGGTTGTTTTTACTGGAGAGGCGGGTGAACGAAAGCTAGGCAGCCCAACGATATGTGCTTACGACTCACTGGTTGCCAAGATATTTCAACAATATAAACCTTCAAGTTTACACCCAGAAAGTGAAATAAGACCCGAACGGGGGCCAGGCCCTAACGAAAGAGATCCCCAAGCCGCACAGAAGCGCAAACACGGACCGAGGGGGAACCGAGCCCTTTGGGGAAGAGGTGGGCCATGTGTTAAGAATTAGTCTTCGGAATCAAAACGAATCAATGCCCCGCTCCCTCCCTTATCAGGCTTGAAAAAGTCACTCCGTGAAGCCGGGGCAGCCCCGCTAAAGCAAGGAAACGCGATGCTAGCATAGCTGGCTTTCGTGATTCACACCCAAGAGCCGGCCCAAACCTGCCATCTCTTCCCCACTCCCACCACCCCCCCCCCCCTCAAACGGAAGGGAACGGAACGGAACGGAACGGCCTCTGCACCTTTGCTCTGGAGCTCTGCGAGGACCTGGGTCACCACCTTGCAATCGCAAAGACTCCGCTGAAACCAGCGCGCGTTTTCAAGGGTAGCCTCAAGAAAGCATCCCAAAAATGTGCCGGATAAATTTCCGGGGGATTCCAAACGAGGCTGGATGGGTTGTTGAACCCACTCCAAAGAGCTAAACTCGACATGCCTATCTTGACTGCTATGCTTGGCCATTCCCAAAAAGATCCATCCGGATAGTGTTGTTTTGATTTCGCCTGAGAATCCGGGGTCCCATGTGTTTTCTTCGAGCCAAAAGGAGGTGTAAAAAAACACTACCCTCCCTCCCACGTTGCCATGGCACCTGCGGGAGGGAAGCTGGAAGATCAAATTCCTTTTGGAGGGACCCCCTGTCAGGCTAGTTTGTTTGCTTTATACTTACGAGTCAACCAGCACAACTTGGCCACCAGCCGAGCCAGACTGATGGCAGAGCCCCCGTGCCCCGCCTCAGGGGTCGCCGTCTGAAGCGCCAGCATCGCCTTCTCATCCAGCATCACACCTCGATCGAAGGCCCGTCCCACTCGCAAAAAAGGTGGTATTTGAGACGGAAAAGCCCGGCTGTTCAAACGTACCCTTAACAAAAGCAATTTAGAGTGGCCCCCTTACTCATTTCAAAACACGTGTTGGACATGCATGTGACCCAATAGAACCTCTAGGTTCTACCAAGTTGGGGGGTTGCCCAATACAATGGTCTTCCATTCCAGTATACTCAATTCAAGAGCATCTCCTACTTACAGATGTGTTGGAAAGTTGGGAGACTGAATAATATCCTACTTCAGAAGTGTTGGAAAGTTGTGTGACTCAATAGAAGCTGGAGGTCCTACCAAGTTGGGGGGGTGCCCAATACATTTCTATGAAAGGGCGCCTTCTGAAATGAGTTCAACTCCATGCCACCCGGGTTTCCGTCAACAGTGGTGGTCCAGTTTGCCTTAGGGCGCTTCCACCCCCAAAATGAGGCAACTGGGCGGGGGCGTTGGGTTTTGGGTTGGGCCCGAGTTCAATTTGACAAGAAGTGTACATGGCACGAAGACGCCGTGCCTCCTGGGTCAGATTTTGAAAAATTGGGGGCCTTTCGGTTGTTCTCGATGGGACCAACAGACCTTAAAATGCGAGGGGACACTGAGCTTGTGTTGATTTCTCAGACCCTTTCACCGTATGTTTTATGGGATGCATGTTTTTGAGCCGCCCCTTTCAGGGGCGGCTCCATCGGTGCGAGAAAGCCATACTTGAAAGATATGAAAGCCAACACTTCCAAACGAAGCAGGGAAGAACCAACCAACCTCGATACACACCAATCAGCAAACGAAACAACACCAAACCAGCAACGCCCTGCGGAACTGCTTCCTGATCCACAAGATATCCCAGCCCAGAAACAATGACAACGATAGAGCAAAATGCACAACCATACACAGCGCGACATTGGTTTCTGTGTCATGTACAGATGTCGTGTCTCCAAATCGGGAAACCTGCAAAATGGTGGTTTTCCGGCCTCCAACTGAAAGCAACCTAAAAGACACCCGATTGGTTTCTGTTTCATGTACCAGTGGACACGGCCGCCCCTGTTGCTGAATGGCACCGCTGAAACAAAGTAACACGTATTGAAAAGTCATGACCATAAAAAAGGGCGCGTCGTCACGAACAACTCTTTGAAAATGCCGTTGGTTGCGTCTGGTAGACTTTTCCTTTTGAAGCTCCACCTTAACAGCAGATCAAAAAGCTTCTGCGTCCAAATGTGGACTGGTGGACTTTCTCTTTTAAACTCTATTTTAGGGGCTTTCAAAACTTAACCAGTGTCCCGGCGAGTGCATTTTCTCCAAGACTACTAGTTTTAGACAGAGAATGCTGCGCTTTCTGCCGCGCAGAATGCCTCTCAAATGGAAGGGAACCAAAGTGAACCCAAGCCCCACAACAATGTTCAGCCCAACTCACCCCACCCCCCCTCCTCAGAGAAAACAAAAAGGAAGACAGGGCAACTTCCCCCCCCTGGAGCAAAATACAACAGGAAGACAAAGCACCCCCGCCGGAAACACCGGGAACAAAAAGAACAAAGAAAACAAGAAGAAAAAAACCCGGGGGCCGGTTTCCTCCCTCCCTCGCTCAAAGAGCGCCGATCCGATTTGTTTTTTGGATCCGCCCGATCCGATTCGCCGATTCGCCCATTCCCCCGATCCGATTCGCGCGCCTGGCGCGGCCATGTACTGGACGGGCTGCACCAAAGGCACCACGGGCTGCAGCAGCGAATTCAGCGTCTGGAACCTCCGGGGGGGGCCCGCGAAGGCGAAGGAAAGCAGCGAAGGTGGGGAACCCCCTTTTGGTTCACCCTCCAAACCCTTTTTTTCACCCTCCGAGCCGGTTTTTTCCAGCCCTTCCCTGTTGTTTCAACCCTTCAACGAGTTTGCGGGTGAAAAAAATGGAAGCCCAAGAAGAAGACCCTCCCACGAGGTTAACGCGTGGAACCTGACGTTCGGGACTCACGCCCTTCAAAGGGAAAGGGTCCAAACCCGGACCCCGTGTGGCATAATAAACAGGCAAATCCATCACAAAAATGCGATCAGTTTGAGGGTTCAAATGGGACCCTGATCAGATCGAATTCGGCTTGATTTTTGTGGGACACGAGGTGAACTCAAGAAGGGTCATGTCTTCCGCTTGGCTTCTTCCACCCAATCCAAAAGAAACGTGTTCCAAAAACTCGAAAAAAAATGGTCAGGTGACCCAGGTGTTCCTTGGGCTTCCCTACCCCAACTGGCCAAAAGGTCCCATGCCATCGCCGCCAGGGAGCTGCATGGCCGCCGCCGTGGCAGCCGCCGCCGTGGCATCCGCGAAGGCACCTCCGCCATTGGTTTGGGAGATCACATGGGGGGGGCGGATTGAGCAGTGTACCTTTTGTCATGGCAGGGGGGGTGGGGTGTGGGTCTGCGTGGTGTCCCTTCAAGAAGCCATGCAGAAGAAAAGAGTCCAACATGTTGAGAAACCTCCGGGGTCAAAAAAATCGTCACCAGATGGAAGCTAGGTCTTGGTTCCGTTTACCAGGGCAAACCTGTTACCAGGGTTCCTTTTGGCAGGGCGGTTGCCTCTTGTCAAACGCTGGTTGTATAGGCCCATACATGAACTCACCATGTTGCATCCTTGGCGGCGGACGGGCCCCATGTTCAGCCAGAGCTAAGATTCAGTAACCATACCAGGGGTTCATATATGGATGTATACATTCAGCTGTTGATTTTGGTGAAGATCATTCACGTGTGGCTCATCAACCAACATGTCCCCTCGCCGACTGGTCTGAAGTATGTATCGATTAGGGGTTGACACCTCAGACTTCCAGTTATTGGGTTGCGCCCAAAAGGACTCCAAAAGCCGTTGATGATTCCAACAAATCCCCAATAATCCTCTTTTGCAGGTCCCCAGTAGTCCCCTTTTCCCCTGGACCGAGCTCGCGTGGACGTATCGGAGCCTTGGCTTGCCGTTGAAGTGGCAAGCGCACGCTGGTTGACCTGGGTACCAAACCAAAGCAAGGCGGCCTTTGATTGATCTCAGGGCTACGAATAGATCTCAATGGGCTTCGGGTTGCCACTTGCGTATGTCTTCGTTTTTCAGGATCCCCCCCCAACAAAGGCAAATGGTGGTCCGGCCAAAAATACAGGTAAAAGGACACAACACACCCACTCCAGTGACCTTCCCCTCGTGTGCAACCTGTGCATTCTTCTGCGACTGGTAATTGGTGTGCAGCCGATCCCTACTGTGGGACACGAACTAAGGTGAACTTGAAAAACAAGTGAAAGAGCCGCAATCCATCACTCCAGTGTCCAAAGATTGGGCCCCTGCCTTTCTGGCGTGAATAAAGTAGACACCACAAAGAAAACGTCCCGCCCAGTGATCAACCGAGGCCATGAAGGCTGCAATATGTCAATATGCCGAGGGAAAAAGAGCGGGATCCCGTGTCAAAAGGCTGGAAGATACCGGGCAAGGCAAGCTTCGGGTTGGCACCGTCCCTTCGCCCCATACGTTCTGCAAGGCGGGGGGGTCTGACAATCACAAGGATGCAATGCTACATAGCAACGCCAGTTGCAACTCGGTGGACTCTCCCCCCCATTCCGGAGATGTCGCCAGGCACCCCCCAATCCCAGTCGGTTGCCAAAACGAGAGTTGCCACCATCTGGCAGAGGTGAGTCATAATCAAAACCTGGTATTAAAATAGTTCACCCAGAACCATGCAAAGAATTAAGAAGGCGGATATCCGCGGCCATTTATGGTTGGGATTGTCCCTTACTAACCTTCATTTACCCGAATCGGTTTTGAGCACGTGGCTCAGGTGAGCATTCACTTGAATAAAACCAGGCTTGGGGCCCGGGGCTAGTGGAAATCTAACAAAAAGATTAGAGAATATCTCAGGCCTCTAGCTGATTTGTTCAAGGGAACCTCCCCCCCCCAAAGCAAAAAAATCAAAAATAAAAATAAATAAATATATAAATAAATAAATAAATAAATAAAAATATAAAACAAATATAAAACGTGGGCACCACTGCCGCCGGTCTGGGACACCTGGATGCATGATTGTCCAGCGATGGGAACCTGTCCATCGGTTCATCACCAAAGGGACCTAGCTACACCCCACAGGGACCACAGCGCGATGCTTAAAGGCTTAGCCACTGGAGGGGAACATATAGGAACCCCTGGGGCAGGAGCCAGGGCTGTCTGCAGCTTTGCAGCGTTCCAGTCAAAGAGTTTAAGCCAAAGGTAAAACCAAATGGTGGCCAAAAGGGCTTGAACCCAAAAAAGAAAGGACAGAGGGCCCTGCCCAACAACGCGGTTGCTTAAAAAGCGGAAACCTTTTCGGAGGGCCCTGAAGGATCCACTGCTTGCCGACGCAAGAGGCCGCATCCACCTGCGCCTTCACGTTGCTCACGGCGCGCTGGACATAGGCCGAGGGGTTGCGGATGTCGTCCTGCTGAGAGTCCAGCTCCTGCAAAAGGCTGGAAGGTGGTTTCTTTGAATGAAGCAAGCAGGACCTCAGGGATCCTTACACTATACACCTGAACATTGCCTTGTAAATGGTGGGTTGCCTTTATTTTGGTGGAAAAAGCCATGTTTCAAATGGTTGCAAAATGTATCAGGACAATGGTTTTCGGATGCCCGCGACAATGCCCGCGACCATTGGACAGTGGTTTTCCGAGGCCCGGGACCATTGGACAACGGTTTTGAGAAGCAGGACCTCTTGAATCCAGCTTTTGCGGCCAGCCAGCCCGCGGGGATTTGCGCGGCCAGCTGCCAGGTCATCATGGCCATTTGCAATTCAGGCGAGTTCTGCTTGCGATGGGTAGTGAATGAGTCGGAATGAACCCAGTCCCCGCAAAGAGGAAACCGCCAGTCGGATGGGTTCTTTCGGGGTCATTCCCACATGTCCTACTGAGCA